GATGCCTTGAATTCTTCCTCCTCAATTCGCAGGACTCCTCCAGAGAGCCAGTGCAAACAGGGGAACAGAAAGCCATGGAAAGCTAAGCAGCTGATGTTTATTCTGGGAAGGAGAGAGTGACTCAGATCCACTTACCCCTGTTATATAAGAGCCTCTGTTAAAACTTGTCTTATTTACCCTGGAATAGATGTCACACGGAGCAGACTTCATTACAGCTGAGAGTCAAAATCTGTGGGAGCTGTGACCTATTGACATTTAGTTGTATTAAACTTCTTGTGTCCTGAAGTAATTAGTTTAAAAATGAACTGGTTTTCTTACAAATAAAATAAGCAACTTAGGCAGTTGAATTACTTGGTGCCAGGGATTCCTTGACAATGTGCATTTGTATTTAGCAGTTAATGTTTGAGGCCAAAAGAACATTTATTAAAAAAAAAAAAATTATAATCAAATATTTGGCAGTGAGCTTTTAATTCTAATAAAGATACTCCAAGCTGTATATAAGCATCCAAGAGTATACTGTAATATACACATTTCAATTTTTTTAAAATTAAAAAAAAATTTTTTTTAAATATTTATTATTTCACTTTGTCACAACCCACTAATTACGGCTAGGTTGTGGGCACTTAGTGAAAATCCATTTATTTTACAAAAAATAAATAATTTAAGCCTTTTCCTCTACTGTTATGTCTGTCCATCTTTCAGCATGCAAACTCTTTGGAACATGCCTTCTCTTATATTTGAAAAGTACCCACCTAATGGTGAGTGCTACTGACAAACAACAGTAGTGACTCTTTAGGGAACCATTTTAAAACAGAGTTACAGCAAGTTGCTTTCCCATATTTCATTACAGTGAAAGAATCAACACCGGACAACACTCAGGCTAGGTCTACTCTATGGGGCGGGGGGGGTCGACCTAAGATACGCAACTTCAGCTACGTGAATAGCGTAGCTGAAGTTGTGTATTTTAGGTCAACTTACCTGGCTGTGAGGACGGCAGCGAGTTGACCGCTGCCATGCCGCCATCAACTCCGCTTCCGCCTCTTGCCGCGGTGGATTTCCGGAGTCCACGGCAGAGCCATCGGGGATCGATTTTATTGCGTCTTCACTAGATGCAATAAGTCGATCCCCAATAGATCGATTGCTACCCGCCGATCTGGTGGGTAGCGAAGACGTGCCCTCAGCTTAATTCCACCTGCAGGTTATTTCCAAAATGCCAATGCTGCATGCACTAATTTAATAAATTCCTTGTGTTACTTCCTTGTGACCAATCCTGTAATCATGCCGATTAGCATTATTGTGAACATTATAGGGAATAGTCCTGTTGAAATCAGTCAAGTTAAGCACACTTAAGCACAGTATAAATGTTTGCAAGTTTGGGGCCTTGCTGGGTAAATGTTGGGGATTAAATTTAAAGGGACACAGTTGGGGTAAAAACAAAGAATTTAAAAATTTGACTTCACTTTTCACTGTTTATACTATTTGTTTCCTTTGTGCATATCCATCAGTATAAGCAAATAATATAAAAGTAAATTCTCATTTACCAGCAGAATAATGCACTGCTTAAGGTGTAAAGATGTCAGGGGAATGTTTGTTTTTAAAAAGTTCCCTTTGGAATCTTTTTACGGTAAATTCATGACAACTTTTCTATTGGTGTTAGGCTTTGATAAGGGAGTTTTTAAAATATAAATATATACAAATAGAGATTTTGGGTTAAAGTTGAAAAAGGATATTTAACCTGCAAACATTTAATGGGTATATATAGAAAAGGTGGTGACAGAACTAAACTTTGGCAGTGAGCCTGAATGAATACTAACAACTGCTGAAAAGTCAAGCCCTTGGCTTAGGTTACTTGACTGTAGGATTGCTTGATTACTTCAAACGTGGCCCAGTTTGATTTAGAAAAGTGTCTGACTAGGGTTTTCTGCAGCCAATAAATAGTTCTATTCAGGAAAATAACTATGGCCATTGAATACTTTCTTTTAGTGAATCAAAGAGGCACAACTGTGTTGCTACAGTAATTTCCTTTACACTCTGCCCAAGCTTTCATTCACATTCTCCTATATGTAAAGTGGTTTAGATAGGACTATCGCCTGTGAAGTATCAGAGAGTGAATAATGAAGGGGAATGGAACCAGGCTTGGGGAGAATGGAGCTGGCACTAGATTAAGTATTGCAAATGGAGAATTAAGTTGTTGGAAGGGGTGAAGTGAGGAAGGAGAAGCCCAACAGCACAGAAATCATATCTCCAAGGAGCTCTTGGGGGCCTGCTGAAGTTAGAGCACTTAAAATAGTGTCCAATTATATTTATAATCAAATATTTGGCAGTGAGCTTTTAATTCTAATAAAGATACTCCAAGCTGTAGCTAACACCATATAAGCATCCAAGAGTATACTGTAATATACACATTTTCACATAATTTGCCATGTATTTACGTATCACCGCAATGGCCAGATAACAGTGGTAGTGACAAAGGTGACCTTTTATCTATACTGAACTAGATGGTTGTAACTTTTGGACCTGAACCTTAGCAAAATGATCCATCACCTCTGCATGGGATTACTGTGCCATGCAGGACTGTTGTTCAACCCCACCCACAAACTCCAGCTGAAGCAGAAAGTAGCTTGTCCACTTTATTCCCCACCATCTGTCCTGGCCTCCAGGTGAAAGTTAAAGCATGGGTTTTAACCTGTGAAGTCTGAAATGGGTGGGTCCTGGTGACTTCAAACTGTCTCCATTTGTAATACTGCTGGAGCTACAATCCGTTAGAGCAGGGGTCCATTAGCTGCACACACTCAGTGCTCGCTAAGAAATAAATTCCACTCATGTAAACTTACCAGAGCCAGTATTTGCAGACTGCTTTGCAGGGCTCATGTAATAGCCCACGTTCCTTGGAGGGAGAGGATGAGGGCTGAATAGATTATACATGTGTGTGTGGCAGGGTGTATAGGATCATGAGGAGAGAGGAGGGGCATTTTAGGACACACTTTTCAATAGGAGTTTCAGACTGCACAGGGCATTTTTTTAAGCATGAACTGAGTACTACCTATACTTTAGTTTGACACTTGCTGCTTTATAATTTAGGCAAGAAACTTTCATTAAGATAGTGTAGTTGTATGTGTGTAATATATAAAATAGCATTAGGTTAAAAGAACATTAAGGCTACAAAGTCAAGCCCTGAAGAGTTAGGAAATGCCAGAATTCAGGGTACCTGAACAATTTTAATTCAGTCCCTTCGTGCTTCTGTATTATGATTAGTCTTTAATTTCATGATCACTTAGTCTTTTCCCCCCCCCCCCCCCCACAGGACCCCTGCCTCATTCAGTGCACAGCATGAATAGCTCACTTAATAAGCAGTGATTCAATATTTTGTTTATCCTCATGTTTAATGGGGGGGGTGTGACATGTCTTATTTACTGCACACTATTCAAATTCCACTGTGAAGACAATTATTGATTTTCTGCTGGGCTCCTCTCTGCTGCTTATCCCTATGGTATCTGGGTGCTTCACATTCATCCCTAAACTAGGTTCATACTATACTCTGAAGGAAGCAAGAGTCCAATCTCAGTGTTCCTGGTTCTTTACTCACCCTATCCCAATTTGTTCTGCAAATACTGGGTCCCAATTAGTAGAGCCCGGTGCGGATACAAAATTTGTATCCGCATCCGCTTCGCAATCCACAAACATGGTCTGTGGAAATAAAGCAAATCTCTGCAGATTTTTGGGGATCTACAAATTAGCTCTCTCCATCCAACCACACTACCCTATCCTGCATTGGCCAAGGTTCTGCTCTTACTGCTACATTCCATCAGGCAGCTTCTTCCTCTACACAGCCAGAGGTAGAATTGTGAGGGAAGTCTGCTCACAGAAGCAAGCAAAATGAGTACATAGACTAAAAGTTACAGCAATCCATGTTTATTAGAGACTGTTCTTGCACCAGTAAACTTTTTTTGTTTTAAAGTCTTTACAGATGGAAAGAGACAATTAAGGCAAGACACAAAGATCAAGAGATGTATGTACCATTACACCTGTCCTGGCTTTGAAAGAAAAAGCTTATAGAAATATTTGCTGTTTAGAGTGTATAGCCCCAGTAACTGTTTATCATGGTGTCTGCAAACTTAAATATTTAGACATCTTTGTTGGACAATTCACATGGAGAAATAAATGAGGTAACAGTAAGTCAGATGTGTCTGACTACACAAATCTCTCATGGGAAGATTGTCTATTTACCAGGATCAAGATTTGACTATTAAACAAGTGTTAACTAAGACTTGTACATATTAATAAGAGACAACAGCTGGAGATGTCTGTCACTAGGTAGACAACAGTCCTATGCACCTCCCATTGCTCTGTTTGGACTCATTTCCATGAATCAAAAACAATAAGTTTACTGATGGGGGTCAGCGTTAGTGTCTACAGTATCTCTCAAACTTACAACAATGCTTTATAGCTCAGACTTAAACAAAAACACCTCCACCCAACCTAATTTCTTAACTCTTCTATTCCTAAATTATGCCACAGAAGTTTGACTTGCAGCTTTACTAAGTGTTTTTGGAGATTGTCCCAAATTATGCAGTAGTTACAGTGAACATGTAAACACCCAACAAGTCTCTAATGTTGTACTTGCAGACAGACATTGAACTGTCTATACTAGATTCCCCCTCCTCCCCCAAAACCCCCCCCCCACACCAACAATATACAAGAAAATTACAGAATGATGCCAGAATCATGCTACCAGATATGACTAATTTTTTTAGAAAGCTTATCTGTGCAAAGTTATTAGTAGGTAACCTCTGAATGACAAATTTAATATTGGAATTCCAAACATCCTAAGCAAAGTAGTTTTTTCAATTGAGAAATCAGTCACATTACAGAATCCAAATCAGTTTCTTCCCACAAATGTTAACTAGAACCACTTCCTGAAAAGGTGTGTATGTGTGAGGGAGTATTTGCCAAGATACTTAGGAGGGTCTGAACATTTTTAAATGAAGAAACTGCACTCATTTTAGAGTCATAATATATTTCAGTGTAAGATGCTTGAAAATTTACATCCATATTTCTGTGAGACATGCTTTAAGTAGAAAGCATTAATTTGTTTAAACTATTAGTTACTACAAAAATAAACTGCAGTGACGCCAAGTTGTTGGCAGTAGGATGCAAAATGGATGCTCTTTATGAAGTATCCTCATCAGCTTACTAATTATATTCCTGTTGTTGGTGGATAGATTCCTGAGCTTTGGGGAGTGGAGTTTGATGGGTTATGCAAGCTGGTCTCCTTGTATACAAACCAAGCATTTCCTCCCCACAGAATCATGTTAAGTAATCCAAAAACCTAGCGGGAGTTTAAAAAAAAATAGATTACTATATATAATAATATTAAACTCTTGTGGAGCACAAATTTGAAGCTAGCAAGCCAAACAGTTTGGCTTGCAACACTCCTTTAGAGATTTAAACCTGCAAAGTGTTTTAAATATTAAGTTAATTGATCCTCTTTCCACAGGGATCTACTCATTAGTAGGCCGATTTCTCCATGAGTTAGCAGTGAGAGTTATGGCTAACGAGCATCCTCATTATAGAGATGTAGGACCACGGTCACCAATATGCAAGGAATTATGCAGTTCCTCCATTCACTGAATGGAAACTGCATGTGCTTAATCCCTTAATGCATGCCTGATCTCCACTGGCCTAGTGAGCAAGTGCAAGATCACTTTTGAATCCAGATTCTTACCGTTTAATACAATGTACTCTTGGCCACACTCCTTATGCTTTAATAAAGGGGGAGAGTAGGGGAGAAGCTTGTTATCCATCACCACAAGAATACTGCGCAATTCCCAGCCCCTAAAAAGAGCTTTCCTTAAGTCTCTTTGTTTTGGGGTATATGGAGAAGTTTGTAACAGTTTCTACAAAGGCCATGTTCAACACCTAGATATAGAAGTCAGGCAGTATCTAGTTTACTCCTACCGGAGACACCACACATGAACTTAAAAAATAAATCCACTTGGGGCTTCTTCACACTCGCTGAGAGTGGCTATGGAGAGAAGTAATGTGGAAGCTTAAGAGATTCCCAAATGACCTAATTTGCAGAAAGATGGCTTTCAATTACACAGATTTGCCAAGAACAGTTTTAAGAGGAAACAATTGTTACTTTGGTTAGTGCTTTCAGCGGCAGATTAGTCACTGGGCCCCCGAGGCCTGTGCTCAGGGGCCTCCGCCAACTGGGGGACCCCCAAAGCCCTGGGCAGGTGGGGAAAATCCCCATGCTCCCAACCTTGCTCCCCCAACCCCATTCCCTGGTGGCCATGCCAGGTGTGGAGGCAGGGGAAGCCCCTAGTGCCCCCCATCCCCAGCAGAAGCCGAAGGGAGAGAGCAAGGGAAGCCCCAGCACAGGGACCCAGGCTGCAGCCCCAGGACTGGAGGAGCTCTTGCTACCTGCTGTAGCCTGGGGCCACAGCGGGGGGACAGAACTTCTCTGGTCTTGAGGCCGCAATTTGGGGGCAGAATGGGCAGGGCCATGGGCACGGTCATATGTGGAGGAGGTGGAACAAGTGCAGAATAGGGGCGGGACCACAGGTGGAAGGGGTGGGGAGGCCCTCACTCCACTTGCTATGGCCCAGGGCCCTAGGAAACCTTAATCTGCCTCAGAGTGCTTTGCTTAAGGATGAATAGCATACGTGACTGGTAACCCATGATGGAATTTCAGTAAAACTAAAAATGGGCACAACATAGAATACCATCAAGTGTGTATTGCAAGTTCAGGTGCAATACAAGCAAGGTAAGGATGCTATAAGTCTTGACATACATACCACAGACAGATTCAGAGTTCCCATGCTGGTAACAGAGGCAAACAAACAAGTTACTCCTGGTAATTTGCAAGATGCAGTTTCCTGAACAATGCTGGGACCAGTGGATATTTTTATATCAGTAAGTGCCTTAGCCCAGGCTGAAGTGCTGACCAGCCACAGAAAAGCAGCCATGACAGTAATAACCAAGTCCTAGAACAAAAGACAACTGTCAGTCAATTACCACTTCCACAACAGAATTAAACACACTTTCCAGTTAAGGGAAAAGTGAAAAAATTTATCAGACTTACAGTCAAGATACAACATTGCATATCTAGCTATTAGACAGTGAGTGAGGTAATATCTTTAGTGGACCAACAAAGTTGGTCCAAGACAAGCTTTTGAGCTAAACAGCTCTTCTTCAGGTCTGTAGCTATTGACTTACCTGTGTAAGCATATTAAACCAATTTAGTTAGGCAGTCTCAGATATATTGTGTTCACAAAGAAAAATAGTAAGTTACAGAACCAGTACTGTAACTGACTACAGAACTGTCTACACCCCCCCTCTATACTAAAAGGGTTATAAGCATCTAACTTAGCAGTTGTTGACTAAAATATGCTGGCTAGCATATAAAAATATTATAATACAGTGTGTATTATTCACACCATATATTAGTGTGCATTAAACACCAACATTAGGCTATATTACGGTTCCAGCAGTTGTGCTTAAACTTCCTATACCATAATCCTGTTCACTTATGCCAAGTATCCAAGAACACCTTGCATTTGCTGAAGCAAGCATTTGGAATAAGCAGACAGGAAACTTGTCAAAAATCAAGATACATTCGTTCTGTGTCTTAGTGCAAGTTAGGGAAAGAAATATCTTCACAGATCAGTGCCTGAAATGCTAGTATCCAAAAGAAAGATAAGGAACAAAACAAGTTAGGGAACTGGAACAAACTGATGGGTTGGATTTTAGTGACATGTAAAGAAGTGTGTAACTTATAAAGTCAATTAATACCAGCTGAAATGTGCAACTTGGGGAGCACACCTTTTGTATAAGGTGAACATAACATTGCTGCATGGGACTGCTCTGGGGAGATTGGTGTTGTATACAACATTTTTCCTGTACCTACTACATTAATACACCTGACTGATACCGGTTATTTGGTCTCAAGTATATTTCATAATGAACTAACCAAATGTAGTCAAGCAATTGACTGTACAATTTGTCAACACAGTTCAGATAGGATGAGTCCACTTCTCTCTAATTTGGAGGCCCGCACCCCCAAAAAGTTATTTAAAACATGGGCAGAACGTTAGGTATAGTTCAGTGTGATAAGTTATCCTAAACTTTCACCCCTACTTAGAATTGGCACAGAGGCTCAGGAGAATCAATTTGTGCTTGAGAACACAGTACTGATATTTTTAATATTAGATCTCCTGGTACACAGAGCTGAAAAATGTCATTCTGCTGTTTGAAGTGCTGCAGTTTTTAGTTGTCCATACGTAGACTCCGAACTATTCAGAGAATTGTCTATACTTTAGTGATGACCTTCACAAAATCCCCATGAGGCAGGAAGAGCGTTATTAAGTGTCTTGCCTAAGGTCACACAGAAAGTCTACAGAAAAGCCGATATCTGGGTTCCAAGCCAAGTCCCAGGCCTGACCCACCAGAAGAGCATGTCAATTAGGGGTATAATTTTTTTACACTATTGCAGTTATACTGGTATAAGCACTAGCACAACGTTACTGGTTTAAAAGGTGCCTTATACGGATATAGCTTATTCCATTTTGGGGAGTGAAAAAAGCTATACCTATAGAAGTATTTTTATACTGTTAAAATTGCATTCACATGTGGAGGTTTGCCATTTAACTATACTAATATAGCTCTTTCTAGTTTAGCCCTTAGCCACAAGACCCTCCTTTACAGATAGTCTCCCAGGCCACCAAGTCCTTTCACTGTGCCTCACAGTTTCCAATTTGTCCAAATGGTGCCTTAAGTTTGGGTAGTAAAAAGTAAAACTACTTCTAATTTTAATTTAATGTCCATGTTTTAGGAGGTATATCTGACCCCTAAATCTTACTGCCTTTAAAACAAAGCAAACATGTCTCTCATTGCAGTGTGAAAAAGCCTGCACAAAGGAAACTGCAGAATTGACAATATCCAGGGAGCTGTCAAGTTGCCCAAAATATTTTTCTGTAGTCTTAGGTGTTAAAAGTAACACTAGTAGGGGAAATATTTTCATATTTAAATGAGATTTAAATTGACTGACCCTTTAAACTAAGAATTAATTTACTAGTTTTGCTATTTTAAGCAGCAAGAGCCAAAACCCAAAAGTCTGATTATAGCCACTCTGCAAAGATCAAAGATAAGATGACCTTCACAAGCACACTTAAAACATAAGTGTCAAACTTATTGCAAGTATTTCACACTGCAGACTTAGGCCTTCTTTCTGCAATCAGATTGTACTTGTGAACTTTGGAAACCACAGAAGTCCCATTGTCTCCAGCCAGCCACCATTGTAGACCCAACTGCAGAGTTAAGGTCCTATATTTCTAGTCATTTTATCTGCAGCAATCAATAGGAAAGCCTGTTTTCTGGAGCCATACTTGTAGTAAGATTCCCAATCTGGTAAAGTATTTAATGCCCATTCATGATTACAGCTGACTAGTCAGCAGATTTCAGTTAAAGAAGGATAATACTTTTAAACTAAAATTGGCTTAAGTTTTTATTTACATGTTAGTTCTTTAGCAATTTAAGACTGTAAAATGGAAAAGAGAAGACGGTAGAGTGGAAGTTCTATACATTTCTCCCAGTTGTTAGAATTTCAAATTAGAAGTTTTCTTATTAAGAAGTGCTTATCTGTACTGAAACAAAACAAGTCCAGGGCCACACTAGTGTCCTTACTGTGATAAACAGACAAGATTGATAAGCAATAAAGTTGGTCTGCAGCCAACAACTCCTTTCAATATATTGAACTTCCACAAGTCAAGAAATCTGAAATGCTTTGACCAAGCTATGCTCCTTTGTCCAGTTTTGTAGTTTGAAGTCAATGCGACTTATGTTATTAGGTGCATTAAAACAAGACACCCAAGTAACTTATCACCCTCCACCACCACCCCCAAAAAAACCCACCACAAACCCACCCCCAAAACAAATCTTTACAAGCCAAAACATTAATTTTTGTGTTTGCCTGTTTCTGTACCAAATTCATAGTAACATCATTGATTTAGTGGCAGCACTAAAAAGTTACAAGTTTCAATAAAAGTCTATTTTGTTTTGAAATAATATTTTCTGCCACTTCATTGAGTTAATGAAGATGGCAGTATCAGGGGGTAAATCTAACACTTATGCACGTACTTAGCTTTTAGGATGAGCAGTCCCATTGGAGTCAGAGGAATTCATGTGAGTAAGTTACACACCAGTTAAAGAGTTTGCAGGATCTGTGCCTTAATCTTTGGTTTTCCTTTTCACTTACATTTTGTTACGTTTAATAAAAACCCCTTCCAGTAACTAGCATTTAAAATGCCGTACCCTTTATAAATTTAGCTCGTTTATATTTTAATCTAAAGTTGTAGTGGCAACAGTTTTCAACTTAATTTTACAAAGAAGTAACTTGATTTTTTTAAAAAAACAGTGATGTTTAATAAACCCACGTGATTTTAAACCATTCCACACTGTACCACTTGACAATTTAAGTTTAATGATTACTTAAACATGCCTGTGCTGAGCAGAAATCATTTTTCCTTTCAGTGGTTTTAAAAACTGACTAAAATAGCTTAGTGTTAGTTACTTACAATCAATGGGATTTTGCCAGTGTTCCGATACAGGTGCATGTACCCAACATATAGTACAAGGGCAGCAATACAGTAAAGGAATACCAAGACTGCAAAAGTAACAAAGAACTGTGCAGAAGAGGAGAAGTTGCCCACAAGGTGAAAGTCAGTCCAAGTGCCACTGCATCGTGTCGGATCTGGTGCACTAAACACAGCTGTATTCAACCTGTGGGGGGGAAAAACAGTGCATTTTCCATAGCAAAACTTTGTTGCACAAGTGGAAACCTCAGTATCTTAGTGTTTTATGAGAACAATGCCATCAACACTCCCACTACATAAGGCATTCTTTAGATGAATAAATTGACCAGCAAATCAAGTGGCATAATACTCTCTCTTTATATATATACACATCCCTGCCCCACCTTAAAGACTTAGATTTTGCCACAAGACATATCACACTGTTTAAGCCACTCAGATTTGGAAATAAGCCTAATTTAACTGTACTTCATTTAAGTTTGCCAGCCTAAGCTAAAACAGTTAGATAAGAGCTTGCCAGCCAGAGGGCTACATCATTAGCTGTAGGTAAATGCAAGTGTTTAGGCTCCCCAACAGTTCTGCTGAGAGATTCAACTCAACCCTCATGGGTTACTGAATGGACAGCACAATAGATTTGCCCCCTCAAAGGGATGCCACCTCTGGACGTTGATTTGGGGCAGGGAGTCTTGCATCTTTTATACTAGCCATCAGCATCTGCTAAAGCTCCAACCCCACAGCCTGCTCTGTGCAGCTACAGCCCTCGATACCTGTCAAGCAGTTTACAGGATTGAGGCCTATGTTTATTAGGACTTCTTCTGGATGCTGGGAAAGAGGAGGAAACTTCACTCTTCTTCCTTCCCTATTTTTCTCCTAACCTTGCTGTTTATATTTGGCTGGGATTCCAATCGTGTTTTTTGGTCTCCCTCTCCTATTCCCACAGAAATATTGTTCTGTCTTTGCTGCAATTTGTTATGGGCAATTACCAAGCTTAATTGACTGTATTCATATAGAAATCAGCTGCTGGGGCACACAATGCCAGGTGAGCTTTCCTATTCAATACTTAAGCAAAATGCTATACCTAAAGGAAAAAAGTCTAAATTGGATCTCTCAATGGAATTAGAATTATTCAATAGATAAAATAGAAAACATCTGTTAAAGATTTTAGAATTCCCTTAAAATTCTGTTTAAAGAATCAGCAATACTTTAATATTGAGATAACATGAAGGGTAACTTTTTTTTAAAGTCTAGAGATAGTTCTAATGATTCATGCACCACTAAAGTACATGCTTTCAGCTCATGATAGTCATCAGGAAGGTGTATGTATCAATTTGGCAATATAATTTCTTGTCCCATCCACATAATCTGCAGAGAGATGGAGACAAACATGCTTTCAGTAGTTAGTTCCCTGATTTCACAAAGACAGACCATACATTGCAGGATGTTTGAATTAGCATAAGATATGCACTTAAAAAAAGGTAGATACCCACTATAATATGGAGGAAACAAGTGAACCCAATAAAATTAGTGGGCAGTGGTGATGACAGTAAGGAAGTGAAAGAATAGGCTCACCTGAATGGATAAGCAAAAGCAGCTGTAACTGTTTTGTTCACAACACCTTTACAAGAAACTAAAATTGTAGTTGTACCTTTATAAACTCCACAGGTGGCAAAAATAAAGATGGAAAAAATCTATAGAAATTGAAACAATATATTAGTGCTCTCAGACTGTATGAAATCTAGTACAGCCCATCCATAATGGGAGGAAGACACCATTTATTCACATGTGTATTAAATGATTTCAGCATTCCCAAATAAGAGTTAGTGCATAGGGCTCCAGTAGCTAAGTTCTGATTCAAACAAATATTGTCATTGCCACAGCATTTCTCTACAAGTAGTGCCGTCCAGTTTCACCAGAATTACTCTCTTTTCATTTCAAAGAGAGGTGGTTTGGATTTAAGCACTCCCCTAGAGTCTAAAGAAAAACATGAAACCAACTTTAACCCCAAAGTGAAAACTAGTAGTCCTTATTTTACCTTTTTGCACTCACCAACTTTAAAGAAAATAAAGAGTGAAAGACAAATAAAGTTTTTAGTTTCACTAATCCAAGGCATTTGTAACACCTAGAGAGGTCTGCTTTTAAAACAGAGAATTATTTTTACCTTTCACTGCCCTTGTTAATTTGCATCAGTGAAATAGCAAGACACATGGCAATTACCCAGAGAAACAGGGCCTGCTTCAGAGATGCCAGCCCCCCACAACTCCAACTTCAAGTCAGTGAAAAACTACCTGTGCTTAGAACATTATTTATTAACATTCCCCTCCCAACCGCCACTGCCCCAAAAAGCAACAACAAAAACACAGGCCCAAGACTTCCACTGACAGGAAGCAGTTTCTACATAGATCTTGGTCAATAGTTCTGGTTTCCTCTTCCCCACCCCAACAAACAGAAGACCCACCACAGTGGCACAAATATGCTGCAGTTATATCAGTTTCTCTTTAAACAAGTGAAGCAGGCACAGCTCTGTCACAAATACCAGCTAAGAAGTTATTTTGTGGTGAAAATACTTTTAGTGGATAATAAGAGATTTGGCTAGTTCCTAGAGACACTACTAACTTGGAGAGCCAGGAGACCCTTCACCAACCAAGCCATGCCCAAGCCCACACCTGCAAGCACTTGGCCTCATCAACATCCCTACCCCATAGAAGAGGCTGCTGTTACCCTACAAGCCCAGCCCAGCAGGGGAGTTTGAAACCTACAAGGGGAATGGAGAGCCCTGAGGTGAGGGCTCTTGGCCTTTCACTCCCTTATGGCTCAGCTGCTCTAAGAAAAACCAACCCCCCAGCTCACCCTACCCCAGACTCACCCACTCAAGGACCTTAATGAAGCCAAGTGGCTCCAGCAGCGGGCTGAGGTTGACTTGAAGGCCAAGCATTTTCTGGGGAGAAAGATCAGTGAAGAAGGAAGAGACAGACAATGAGGCCTGCAAGCAACCCCCTGGCTTGAGCAGCCCACACATAAACCACTCACTGCTTGCAGCCAGAGAGGGGCCCTCTGCTGATCCCTATAGGGCCTGCCTGACCAGGCCCCGCCCAGCCACTCTCTGGAGCCAGTCCTGCCTCACCCCAACTGTCACCTCACAATGGGGCTGGGTGAGTGGCAGCTGCAGCTGGCCCCGCCCAGTGCTAGTGTTGCCTCCCTATTTCAAGGCTTCTACTTACATGGCTGAGAGCTGCCTAAGGGCACACTCTGGTGGGGAGAGCCTCACTATTGCTTAAAGGCTTAGGGTATCAGGATGTGTGCAAGGATCCCACTGCCAGTTAGGGCCCTTCTGTGGGCATGAGGGCTCTGCTGTCACTTGAGGCAGCCTTGACATATCCAAAGGATGGTAGAGTTAGGGACACAGCCATTGTAAGAGTTGTCAGACAAAATCTGAGGGAGGTTGGAGCTTGTCAGATGCGGCCCTAAGTGAATGGGGGTGAGGAAGGCTGCTAGCCTGAGGTGGGGCTGGTTCTCCTGGCATGGGTGGCTTGTGGAGTGAGGGGGACATTGGTACTCCTGGGGTCAGGGCCGGCTCCAGGTTTTTTGCTGCCCTAAGCGGGGGGGATTGGGGGGGGGAGGAGGAAGAATGCTGGCCCTTGAAAAGAGCTGCCCCCAAAGGGCGGAGTGCCGCCCCTTGAAAAGTGGTATTCAGCTCCAGGGGTTGAAAAGTGCCACTACTACAAGGGGTGACAAAGCCAGCTCCATTACAGCCCCATCTGAGCCCTGTCTCAGAGCCAAACCTTGTGGGCAAAGTGAACAGTCCTTCTCAGATTGGATGAAGGGTGGTAGGAGTGGAATAAGGGCAAAGGCAACGGCCACTGCAGCCACAGCTATAGAAGGAGTTGCAGGCAACAAGCTACTTCTTTCACTTACCTGGGCTCCAGCTGGATCCCAGTGACTGTGTGAGAACTGCTGGTTTAGGGGGCTCCCTATGGGTGTGAAGGCTGGTGGTTCAGAAGCTTTATTCAGTCATAAAATAGCTGAAAAAAATCATCCCATGACCCACCGTAAGCAAAAGACTGTGGGATTTGGATTTTGTTGGTTATGGATCAAAAAGTGGGGTGGAGTGGAGAGGCAGTCATGCTGGGACAGTCCACTGGGTAAATGTTCCAATGCCCTGTCCCTTGCCTTCTCCAGCTTAAGGAGGACACATGCAATAGCTGCCCGGCCTGGCAGCCTCCTCACTTTTTTCCTTGGCTGGCATCTTCTCATTCACTCTCACTTGTGCCAATGAGCATAACGACTCTCTCACACACACAACATAGTATTTGAAGTCACATAATTTATCCCTGTGTGTCATCACTTGATGCACTTATCCTTGCGAGATACATGCCCCCACTACAGCTCATAAAATGAATAGAGTAGGATCATTTGACATTAAATGCAAGTGAGGCTTGATATTGTAGTTGTATTATTCTTCTGTTAGTATCTATAAACTTCTGTTGGACCTGATTTAATTCCTGGCATGCCAGTGTTGTTATTAAAGCAATGCTGTAGATATTCCCACCCTTGGGAAATTTTAAGAAAAATGCTATTGTAGACAAAACCCCCAGGTGAAGAATGGCTCCTTTGCATTTGGCCTCAGCTCTGCTTACAAAAACCCATAATGGACTTTGGTTGTGCACCTCTCTGCCTGGTGCCTCCAGCAGAAAAGAATGGGCTAACTAATATAGCCTCACAATCCACATGGTATATTTCCCTGTGACTTTTAAAAAAGATCTTTCCTCCGCTAATCCTACATTCTACCCCAGAGGTATTTTGGCAACATATACTCTATGTCTTCAGCATAAGCAACACAATTTTGTGCAGAAACCTAAATTAGGAAACCTAATTGGTGACCTAGATACTATTAATAGAACTGCATTTATTAAAAAGCCTAAACAAAGACATTCATTTTACAGAGTGCTGTAAAGTTTGCTGGGTTCAGGCTCAGATATTTAGTGGGAGTCAGTTCCCAAAGCAAGGATCTGCTACTAAGAAAGTCCTGTCCCTCACTGTCATTGGCTTCATACCCTTGTGAGACAGATTGCCAAAATGCTTCCTCCAAAAACATATCTCAACCTCTGAGATAATTGGGACCCGAACACCTAAAATCTTTTTAGTTTGCGACCAGGACCTTGAATTACAGCTAGCAGCCAGTATAGAGCACTGGTGTAACATGTTCTTCTCAGTCTGTCCTGCTCATTTTGAACTAGCTGAAGCATTTGGGTAAGCCCAAAAGTAAGCTTAAAGGTAAGCCCCAGGAAGAGTGTTGTTAATAGATGAGCCTCGGTGCTTAATTTGTAGTGCAAGAGGTGCTGGGGCTCAAGCAAGTTTTTTACTTTCATAACTGACAGGGCAATCCCAGAGATGCTGGGGCTATGAACTGCCAAGCCTAGAAGTGCCAGGGCTCAGCCCTGGCAAACTCTGGCACAAATTAAGCATTCACATACCTAAATTATTAAAACCAGCTCCTGGAAAGTGGCCATAATATCAGTCACTGTTAATTTAAGGGATGGAATACATCAAATATATGTATTTTCATGCATTATGGTAACTGCAGTGAAGCAATACAGTAGGGCAACTTACTCCAGCCATTGTCTAATTGAATACTGCATGCAGATGTGGTCGCCCCATCTCAAAAAAGATATATTGGAATTGGAAAAGGATCAGAAAAGGGCAACAAAAATGATTAGAGGTATGGAACGGCTTCCATATGAGGAGAGATTAATAAGACTGGGACTTTTCAGTTTGGAAAAGAGACAACTAAGGGGGGATATGATAGAGGTCTATAAAATCATGACTGATCTGGAGAAAGTAAATAAGGAAGAGTTATTTACTCCTTCTCATAACACAAGAACTAGGGGTCACCAAATGAAATTAATAGGCAGGTTTAAAACAAACAAAAGGAAGTATTTCTTCACACAACGCACAGTCAACCCGTGGAACTCTGCCTGAGGATGTTGTGAAAGCCGACTATAATAGGGTTAAAAAAAAGAACTGGATAAATTCATGGAGGATAGGTCCATCAATGGCTATTAGCCAGGATAGGCAGGGATGGTGTCCCTAGCCTCTGTTTGCCAGAAGCTGGGAATGAGCAACAGGGAATGGATCACTTGATGATTGCCTGTTCTGTTCATTCCCTCTGCGGCACCTGGCATTGGTCACTGTTGGAAGACAGGATTCTGAGCTAGGTGGACCTTTGGTCTGACCCAGCATGGCCGCTCTTATTCATAGATTCATAGATTCTAGGACTGGAAGGGACCTTGAGAGGTCATCGAGTCCAGTCCCCTGCCTGCATGGCAGGACCAAATACTGTCTAGACCATCCCTGATAGACATTTATCTAACCTACTCTTAAATATCTCCAGAGATGGAGATTCAACAACCTCCCTAGGCAATTTATTCCAGTGTTTAACCACCCTGGCAGTTAGGAACTTTTTCCTAATGTCCAACCTAGACCTCCCTTGCTGCAGTTTAAGCCCATTGCTTCTTGTTCTATCCTTAGAGGATAAGGTGAACAAGTTTTCTCCCTCCTCCTTATGACCCCCTTTTAGATACCTGAAAACTGCTATCATGTCCCCTCTCAGTCTTCTCTTTTCCAAACGAAACAAACCCAATTCTTTCAGCCTTCCTTCATAGGTCATGTTCTCAAGACCTTTAATCATTCTTGTTGCTCTTCTCTGGACCCTTTCCAATTTCTCCACATCTTTATGTTCTAATTAGCACAGCACAGGAATGAATATGTATAGGGCAGGCTTCATTTGTTGTTGGTTGGTAATATTGGCAGAAATGTCAAAATTTTAGTGTACTGTACTGTCACCTCTATTACATTCCATTTTGATTCTTTTACTGCCCTCATTATAGTAGTATCTGACTGCCTTCCAGTTTTGTATTAAACAATATTAGAGAAACAAGGTGGGTGAAGTAATGTCTATTATTGGACCAACTTCTGTTGGTGAGAGAGAGAGAGACAAGCTTTTGAGCTACACAGAGTTCTTCTTCAGGTCTCAGATCTCTGTAGCGCAAAAGCTTGTCTCTCTCACCAACAGAAGTTGGTCCAAAAAATGATATTACTTCACCCACCTTGTCTCTCTACTGTCCTGGGACTGACATGACTACAACACCACTGCATATTAAGCAATATGACTAACATTGGTCACAAATGGTTTGTTCTTCCTCTCATCCTCTTCCCAGGGCAGAAGTGTATGTGCTATGTAGGATTTTGTTCTGGTCGAATTTTTGTTTGTTTTTTTAGGCACATGATGCTCTGGGTTTTTGTTAGAGCAGGCAAGGTCAGAGAAGTGCACATTGCACTTGGAGCAGAAGGTGCTGAGGGTTGTGATGTTCCTTAGTTCCTCAGGAAGCCCTTTCTACAGTCCCAGACTGGCCCCTGAGGAAGCTCAGTTTCCTACATAAACAAACTATACCCTTATAGTAGAAAGTTCCATTAAGGCTGAGGATCAGAGTTGTCAACCACAGTCTTCAGCCCAGAACTTCAGCTGATTTTTTAGATATGCTGGGGCGAGGCCATTGAGCACCTTGAAGATAAGGACTGAGACCTTGACTCTCATTCTGGGGAAAGGAAGTGTAGAGCATGGAGGACAGTGCTTGTCGATAATTACCCCCATAACAAAATCAATCGAGTTAAACCATGGATAAATTTAGCCCTATAGGAACAAACCCACAACAGAAACCTGAAAGTCTCTTTGGATCCATCCACACAGCCAAATCAACACAACAATGCCATAACTATGTAACAATAACTCCGTTTGGTCTTGCCTGTTTAGATGGGACCAAATTATATTCATTACCATGTTATGGAACTATGTTGCAGCCTGTACATTCTGTAAAGGCTGTAAAGACAACCTGTAGGCAGACATGCCAAACCTGTGGGAAAAAACACAGAAATCGGGCTTGTTTTTGGTTTAATTGGCTTGTGAGTTGCTTGTTGGCTAGTTTTTAGCTTGTTGCTTGTTTGGCTTGTAGCTTTTTGTTTTTTTGATCGGCTCCTGGCAAGCAGGGGTTGGGGGGGAAAGAGGGGGAGAGATTCAG